CACCTCTGCGAAACCTGATTTCTTCTTCTACAGGTAATGAAACAAACTCACGTCTCTTTGGGTTTCCTGCCAATTCCGCCATAGTTGGACGTTGGCAACTTTGGCTCACGGGTGGACAGCAACGGGGTCTTTTCTTGTTGCTTAGACTCCATGATTCGTTTTTCAAATTTGTGGGCAACTTATCTTTTTTTTTCAAGTTTTCATATGTATACTACACCATAAAAAAATACACTATAACTGTATGATGATGACCGAAATATATTTTTATATGCCAAGCATAAAAATTATGAGCTTCAATTTTCAATCACGAAAAAATGGCACTGCCGACTTCAAAAGAAATGCACTGGTTTCTAATTTGTAGAAATTTCGCAGTTCCATTGTACGGTAATTAAATAATCTGTCACTTACGCGAACGTCCGTATATTTCACAACCAATTCATTGAACTTTGTCAACTCACTGAAAGTATGAACACGATTTCAAGAAATAAAAAGCGTATCAACTAAAATACTTTACTTCTGTTTACTTCTGAACGATGGGAAAAACTGTACTGCTGATAGTACTTCATCCAGACTCATATTATAAAAGTAATTACTGTATACATAAACTAATCCAATCTTTGGGACTCACAAATTTCGGGAGGAAAATGCTTCAAAAAGGAGAAAACGAGGTCTCGAAACTGTCTTCAAAGATTATCAAATACTGTAAACACGCCGGCGTCTCGAACTGATAAAACACCCTCGAAGTTGAGAGCATAAGCTGTAGCTTTCAAATTTATCCGCGCATATTTACTGAACAATGTTGAGAGAATGCGATTTAATGCCGACAGGCAAGAAATCCCGTTATTGAAGTTTTTTTTTTAAAAATTGCAAGGGTTGTAGGCAAGATACGAGTTTCAGCATCCCACGGAAAAAAACCGGGCTTGTCTCGGGAACAGCAGCACACGTGCAAATGAGAAGAATTGGCGGAATACGGGTTTTTCTCCGAAAACCCCAGCCCATACGATTTGAAAAGAAGGGAGCGATAACGGGAAGCAAATAACAGATGAGGAACATGACAGTCTGGTCGGTCACATGACTTGACGACGAAAGATTAGAAAATATTTTACGGCGCCCATCATCAGACCCCGCTTTTGAATGCGAAGAAAATTTGAACCCACAACGAAACGCCTTGTATTGTACAGTACAGCTATTATAGATGCTGGATTCCCATAATTGTTTCGTTGTATGGAGCGACACCTGCATCACTTTTACAAAACGCAAGCATTGAAAGAAAAGTTGTTACTCGTTAGGTGATAGACAGCAAACCACGAATTAAGTAATTTGACCTACATTGCATACAGTTTGATACAGACGCAATATATACGTAATCTTGTTCGGTTTCCATACCATGTAGACATCCTACTCACTGATGGTGAAATCTATCAACGACTTTCAAAGGCTTAGGATAAAATTAAATAAAAGTAAAGTATTTAGATTAATTTTTTAATCTACTATAATTATTTAAAATTCCTTTAAGCACAACTTTGAAACATCTGTAATTTCCACTTTGATTGTATACAGTACATTCATTTTCATGAGCGCTGCCAATTTTTTGCACGTTATTTTTTCTAATTTGCAACTAACAGCCCTCGCAAAATCCAAAATTATCTCAGCGAGGAAAATATAGTTTTAAACTTCATTGCAAACACTTTTGACTTGAGATTGTTTTGATTCATGTATTCACCTTCAGGCTCCTATATTATTGAGTTCAAAAATCTCATATACCCATGATACGCAACCTTTACCTGCGGGAATTTAGTTTCGCTGTACATACAGAATATTTATATGAATAAATAGCAGCTGAAAATGGCTCACGGGAAGAATAAAAAAATATAAATCCAGAGGTAAACTCACCATTGTTCGAAGGGATACCTTCTTAGTCTTCAAATCGTTGTCGCCTTTTCCAGTACTGTCCTCGTCGTCATTATGTTCAAACAAGCGGAAGTTCACCGAGAAAAAAATGCAAAAATTATTATGGTCTGAATTTATATTATGCAATTAGTTTGGCGGTTTCCATATTGTAGGAAGAGCGATTCAAAGGGCGAATAAGGAGTGGTAATATTTAGGAACACGAAGAAAATATTCAGCATTCATTATGAGAAGAATTGGCAGTCGAACACAGAAGATCATGTAAACATCGGATCTGCTCTTCAAAAAACATGTGGGAAAAAGGAGAGCATATGGATCCAATGCGTAGAGAAGAGCAGGTGTAAACAGAAAAGCGTTTACTGTATGAGTTATAACAGAAAAGCATGTTGGACAGAAGATCAGCATGTACAGTTTATGTGGACAAAAGAACGTACGTGCTTGAATAAAGAGCACACAGTAATCTGACAAAAAAGCATATTGTAACAAAGAGCATATCGTAACAAAAGAGAACATTATTGCAATAAAAGAGTATATTTCAAGTGTAGTTTGGCTATACTGTATAATTATGGATTGTCACTTATTGGATTTCAGTAATGCCCCAGTAACCCAAGCACTTCATGTACTGTAGGTCTGTAGCACAATATTGATGCCAAATATAATTAGAAGTTGCCTATTACAGTATATAGTCTTAACTTTTCAAAATCAAATACCTCCCCAATTTGAACTTTTACTTGATTTCTGGTCATTTCTAGCATCAAGCGCAAAGCAATTTAAATAGTTACTCTCCCTTTAAAATTGAGCCAAACCTGCCTTAGTTGAATATTCAAAACCTTCCGGCTTTAAATTGGGGCTAAATTGTAAAATACCTGTTCCAGAAAAAAGAATAACCGCATTTATCCCGTGCATCCGTCGGATATTCGCAATTTTTGTAATATTCTAATTGCAGCGACACCTGGCTCACGCTCTAAAAATAGTGAGCTAGGCTTTTAACAGAGAAATTCCATAATGTCCCCTCTGCGAAACCCGATTTCTTCTTCTACAGGTAATGAAACAAACTCACGTCTCTTTGGGTTTCCTGCCAATTCCGCCATAGTTGGACGTTGGCAACTTTGGCTCACGGGTGGACAGCAACGGGGTCTTTTCTTGTTGCTTNGTGGACAGCAACGGGGTCTTTTCTTGTTGCTTAGACTCCATGATTCGTTTTTCAAATTTGTGGGCAACTTATCTTTTTTTCAAGTTTTCATATGTAAATACTACACCATAAAAAATACACTATAACTGTATGATGATGACCGAAATATATTTTTATATGCCAAGCATAAAAATTATGAGCTTCAATTTTCAATCACGAAAAAATGGCACTGCCGACTTCAAAAGAAATGCACTGGTTTCTAATTTGTAGGAATTTCGCAGTTCCATTGTATGGTAATTAAATAATCCGTCACTCACGCGAACGTCCGTATTTCACAACCAAATCATTGAACTTTGTCAACTCACTGAAAGTGTAAACACGATTTCAAAAAAAAAAAGCGTATCAACTAAAATACCTTACTTCTGTTTACTTCTAAACGATGGGAAAAACTGTACTGGTGATAGTACTTCATTCAGACTCATATTATAAAAACAATTACTGTATACATGAACGAATCCAATCTTTGGGACTCACAAATTTCGGGAGGAAATGCTTCAAAAAGGAGAAAACGAGGTCTCGAAACTGTCTTCAAAGATTATCAAATACTGTAAACACGCCGGCGTCTCGAACTGATAAAAACACCCTCGAAGTCGAGAGCATAAGCTGTAGCTTTCAAATTTATCCGCGCATATTTACTGAACAATGTTGAGAGAATGCGATTTAATGCCGACAGGCAAGAAATCCCGTTATTGAAGTTTTTAAAAAAAATTGCAAGGGTTGTAGGCAAGATACGAGTTTCAGCATCCCGCGGAAAAAAACCGGGCTTGTTTCGGGAACAGCAGCACACGTGCAAATGAGAAGAATTGGCGGAATACGGGTTTTTCTCCGAAAAACGCAGCCCATACTATTTGAAAAGAAGGGAGCGATAACGGGAAGCAAATAACAGATGAGGAACATGACAGTCTGGTCGGTCACATGACTTGACGACGAAAGATTATAAAATATTTTACGGCGCCCATCATCAGACCCCGCTTTTGAATGCGAAGAAAATTTGAACCCACAACGAAACGCCTTGTATTGTACAGTACAGCTATTATAGATGCTGGATTCCCATGATTGTTTCGTTGGATGGAGCGACACCTGCATCACTTTTACAAAACGAAAGCATTGAAAGAAAAGTTGTTACTCGTTAGGTGACAGCCCGCAAACCACGATTTAAGTAATTTGACCTACATTGCATACAGTCACTATGTCTGCGTTATATATGCATTAGAACAAGCCAAAGGTATGGTACATCTGTAGGATGAGTGACTACCACTTTAGATAGTTGCTGAAAGTTTCCGAATCCTATTTTAATTTATTTTCATTTCATATATTTCATTAACTGACAACGGACAGAGAAATTATTTTACATATTTATTCCGTCATTTATTTACATGCGCTCAAATATTTTTTAATTCTGCTCAGAGGTTCCTACTTAATTGGAATTCATTGTGCAGACGATTTAGCAAATTTCATAGAAAATAATTAAAATCTGATATACTGTATTCATGATAAAAATTCATATCCATGTTTTGTATTGTTGAATTACTCATTTAGACGGTGACAAAATTTCAATTGTTGGTCGAACGCCGGAGGAAGTGGGGATCAAAATATTGAATTTTTTTTTATTTCTTACAGGACGAATTCTAAAATCAAGATGCGTCGGAATAATTCGAACTTTCTACCAACAAAACTGAAGGCAAATTTCACTTCCTCGAATAGAAACGTTCAGAGTTTACAAAAATATGAGAGCAACACTCGGATTTTACCTGACGAAAACCACTCATGTGGAAATCAATATACTGAAGAGAAAAACAGATTTCGGAACTCAGTTTAAAAGTTATCGATTTCCCACACGATAGACGTAAAAGACGTCAATAACACTTTGATCAACACAAAATTCGCATCAAAAGTATCTGTCTTGATCCAGCGATTGAATAAATTGTCTTCAATTCTGCATTTCTCGAGAATGCGGGATCACTCAATCGGAATACAACTGTCAAAGAAGTTTTCAACTATTGTGACAATCATGGTATTTCTCGGGTGTATTTCCTTGTTTTACAATTTAAAAACAAGAAGCGCATTCAAATATGCTTTGAATAGGTGCGTATATTATATACGTTAAAAAACGATAGCAAAATTAAGTGTTGTCTGAAGAAGAAAATATGGTGATTCCAGTTCATCCAATTGGCCATTTGATGACAACGACCTTGAAATAAATGATGCCAAACTTTTGGCACACATCAGGTCGAAATTCTTGATGCCTGATCCTCAAACGACAGAACTTGACATGAAATTATATGGCAAAAATGTCATTTGGGGTAACTCGCATTGCAGAAACGTGGAGAACATATTTCTTCCGGTTTTATTCAACAAGGTACGCTTCGAATGACTTTTCTTGCATACCAAAAATTCCTTATAATAGAGATGAATATGAAATGTGTGGGAGTCAGTGGAATATCTCAGTGTTCAGTTATCGACTTGATTTCGTCTGATGAATTATTCAGTAAAACATTTTCAGTGATTTTTATTCAAACTTTAAAAAACAAAGTATAGTCGAGGAATGGGACGTTTTTGGAAGCCGGTTCTTGTGGAACACGTTTTTCTGGGACACTTCACATGGAAAAAGAATTGGATTGGATGGGTCTAGTAATTGAAATGCATCCCACAAATCTTCGGGAGCTCTGGGAGTTGGAAAGAAGCAAGGCAATTCTAGCTCCGATGTGTGTGTCAGTCAGTGGAAGACCAGAACAGGTAGATTAATCAATTTTGTTCATCAATTTCAATTTTTAGTCATTCAGTGATTCAGTTTATGCTCACAGCATAGGTTTTAAAGTACAGTAGTTCCGAAGATTGTTTTTCTCGCTCAAGAAGTGCTAGTCTATTCATTTTTTCTGAAGGAAAACCAATAAATATTTCAGGCTTTCAAATTTTTCTCATTTTCACAAGAGGAGACAAAGTATTTCGTTGTTTCAAATTTTTCTTACTGTTTTTCACGCTCAAGAAGTGCTGGTCAAGTACCTTTCACAGGAGAAAACAATATAAAAAATTTGAAACACTGAAATAATTTAATGTGTTTCAAATCACGATATAATCATCTTCAGAAAACACTCTCAGGGATTTTGAATAAAATTCATCAAGGGAAATTTATGTTTTTCAAAATGCAGGGAAATGTCTCAGCAATTTTCTGTGATATTTTTCAAGCTTTAAAAAAATGTTCCCTTTACAGAATATAAGGCTTAGTTGCAAAATATTTATAAACCATGAGTTTAAAACTCATTTTAGTACACGTGAGGCAAGCTTTCTAAATTTCTAGGACTTTTCAGGACGTTTTTTACCTATACTAAATCTAAAAATGATGAGCCCTTCATAATGAATCGATAATAAAATATGCAAAACCAAACTTATTTCATTCATAAATTAAAACAGCTCAAAAGCCGAAAACTCGTGAATGCAACTAGTTGTGGAAAGACGCTCAGTTCATTTTGAAATTTTATTAATAGATAATAAGCACGATTAAACTCTCGATATTTTATTTAATCATTGAAATTTTTTCAAAGATTATACATGAGGTTTTTCAAAGCTAAATTTCACTTTTTGGAATAAAAAGCTTTTTTTCCCCAGACCGTCATTATTGATAAAAACGGCTTGGGACTTACTGTCCAACGGCCTGGAGAAGAAATTCCGAAATCGAAGCACCCTTTCAAAGAAATGCATTTTAAAGTTGACTGTTTCCCTCTTTACTCAATTCTGCTGGCTGCCAATTGGACAAGAATTCTCTTCAGCAACTTGTCTCTAGTCAAGGGAAATGTCTTATATTCCGAATCAACGTTTTATAAATATTTGGTACTCAAATTTTGAGTAAAATCATGTGCACTCCGTTCGAAAGATTTAAAGATCCTGAAAAGTCCTGCAAAAAATGGATATTTAAATCTAAAAATGATGAGCCCTTCATAATGAATCGATAATAAAATATGCAACAAACTTCAGTTCATTCAAAAATTAAAACAGCCCAAAAGCCGAAAACTCGTGAATGCAACTAGTTGTGGAAAGACGCTCAGTTCATTTTGAAATTTTATAAATAGATAATAAGCACGATTAAACTCTCGATATTTTATTTAATCATTGAAATTTTTTCAAAGATTATACATGAGGTTTTTCAAATCTAAATTTCACTGTTTGGAATAAAAAGCTTTTCTTCCCGCAGACCGTCATTATTGATAAAAACGGCTTGGGACTTACTGTCCAACGGCCCGGAGAAGAAATTCCGAAATCGAAGCACCCTTTCAAAGAAATGCATTTTAAAGTTGACTGTTTCCCTCTTTACTCAATTCTGCTGGCTGCCAATTGGACAAGAATTCTCTTCAGCAACTTGTCTCTCGTGGAGAAGAAATTCCGAAATCGAAGCACCCTTTCAAAGAAATGCATTTTAAAGTTGACTGTTTCCCTCTTTACTCAATTCTGCTGGCTGCCAATTGGACAAGAATTCTCTTCAGCAACTTGTCTCTAGGAGGATTTGAGCATGAAATCCTCTCCACCTTTCCGTTTGACAAAGTGGATTTGAAGGTACTATAGCATTTTTATTTTATTTTTTGTAAAACGTTTTTGTGATTCCAGCACGACAATATTATCCAGCAATTTTAATATTTCCAACATGTGATTCAGATGTTCTGATTAGAAAATTTCCGCGCAATTTTAGGTCATCTTCTTCAACTTGGCAAACACGACTGTTTACACAAAACTCAAGACATTGCTGCATTCCCGAAATTACTCGGATTTATCTTTCCTTATAACCGGCAGTCCGTGTTTTCGTCAGTCAATTTTTGCCAAAACTATCTGGCTCGAAGAAAACTATTTGCGAATAGCGGAGGCCTTGGGTGCGTATTTCTGATTTTTATTTTAAATAAATTTGAAGTTGTCAGTGTTTCTCTCTTATTTCCATACACAGCAATAATATGCTTCTCATTAGCCTTTATAAAATTAAAACCCCGTTTCCTTTTAAGACCTTACTTTTGTGAAAAGAACATAAGTCTTATACAGTTGAGTTTAAGTCCCATTGGGCAGACGGTAGACGTGAGCATTTTTATTTTTTATAGCACATTTCAATAAATAACTTGAATAGTAAAGAATTTCAATGAAATGCCGTAGTTCAAATTTTAACTGAGAGATGGAAGAAAATGTCACTGTAAATTGATCAATGGATTTTTTGTTTGCTTCACAGGGAGTGATCAATCAAGGAAAAAACTGCAGCAACTGCTTTTTGCTTGATCAATTGAAGCTCTCCTTGGTTTTGACGATCATTTGAATAAAATTGTTTTTTTCGATTATTTTTAGAGTACATCCTTATAGCTTCAATCTAAGATGTTGCAAAAGAGTTTTTTGCTTCAAAAGTTAGCGCATTGGGAATTGCGCCATAGGCAAAGCATGTTTTTGTTGTCGTGCAATATGGTTTTACAATCAATACGAAGTTTTGATTTGTGTTGAAAACCTTTAAGAGGATGACCACAAAATTTGCCAACAATTTATTTATTTAAGGTTCGAAACTCTTTTACCAGGTGGATCCTGGACCAAATACTCTAAGTATTCAAGACAATTTTATGATAATAAACACACACAAGTTTGACTTACAAGCATTTATTCAGCTCCAATATATACGCGTATACAGCTCTCTCTGAGGGTATCTTTACCACTGCTCTCTACTGGGCCTTGCATGGCCTTTTATTAACTTTAGAGAAACCAGACAGTACAGGGTCATCGTTTGGCAAAGACCATCCAGCCAGACAAAGAAAGGAGACACACACGTATTCCGCAACACAGTATTTGTTAGATTTATGGGGTGGTTGACCGCCTGGGGCAAATTGCAATTAGGACAGGTAACGAGGGAAACTCAATTGCGCAGGCATGCGCGGCCATCCACGTTAATGAGTGGGGCAAGGGACAAAGGAAAGTAGAGCACGGTTTTAACCAGCTGACAACATTTTCTTTGCTGATTTTCACTTCTTTGTGAAAGCAAGTTTTTACTGCACAATGCAAGATTGTATTTGCTGATTGTGTGTGTGATTGTTATCTTTATGATACCTGTGATCAGAGACAATAATGAAGTCATCTTTTAACATCCAAGGACAAGAGGATGCTCCAGCTTCCCTTATTTTTGCAGTCATCATGAAGTTTTGCACTTTTAAAATCAAGTAGTAGAGCGTCCGCAGTGCGAACAAAAAAAACGAAAAAAATGAAAAAAATTGCAGAAGTGGGATTCAAACCCACGCCTGCAGAATCAGACTGTGACCTGTACACAGCGCCTTAGACCACTCAGCCATCCTAACAACTTAATGTACTGAATGCGTTTTTTTTATGTGAAAAACAAACAGTAAACAAACAGGCCACAGACACACATTACACAACGTCCTTATTATTCCCCCCCAGACCCCTGTAGGATCCTACTGGTCATTCCTCCCACTGCAGACGTTAAATTCCCTTGGAGGCTGGGTAACTGCCTCAGCACTCAGGTGTCTCTTACAGCTGGAATGTTCTTAATGCAGCTTAAAATCTGTAATATATAACTTTTTTCAGGTTCTTCTCGTGCACCATACTTCTTACCCTCCTTGATTAAAAAAAAAAACTTTTAAAAATAGACACAGAAAAGCAATACAGTAAATGTAGAATAAATCAGACCAAGTTTTCAAACCTTTTCTTTTCTCATCAAAGAACCTTGAACCAGAAAGAAACAAATTTACGCTCTTCACTTCCAAGCAATCCACTTTGTTTCATGGAATGCTTAGAAACCCGAGTTGATTCAACGTCTGACACTTTTCCTTTGAACCACGAATGCACCCGCATTTACTTACC